GGAGGGCGGACATCGTAAATTTAAGTTAAAATAATAAAAGTATTTGTTATAATGTTCCATATTATTTATGTACTGTATATAACATATATAACATGTATAACTGTTTACAACAATATATTATTGTTTAAATAATTAGATAAATAGAATATAAATAAATATTAAATAAATTTGGCCAAATAAAGGAAGGTAAACGAAAACTCTAGGCCTTGGGGGGGGGGGGAGCCATGGCTCCCATAGCCCCCTCCCTGGATACCGCTATACGCGCGGCGTAGGCAAACTCAGCCACCGTCACCAGAGGCAGGAGCGAGTGTCTGGTGGCGACGTCACCTAGCACATATTAAAGGCAGCTGGCGACGGAGCAAGAGCCCTGTATTGGATAGAGCTTCGTGTTATGTCTGCTTCCGTGATTGTGCCTGCGCTGACCGTTCCTTGTTATATTGTTAGTTCTAATTGGATATTGGCTACTTTGAATTGAACTGATAAATCTTCTGGAGACGAAGACCGTGCTTATTTTGTTGGACATCTTCTAGTGTACACGCTTGTGAATTTTTGTAAGATGTAAATAATAAACGTTTGATGTAGATTTACTTGTTGGTGTATTTTTCTGGACGTAACACTTGGTGGAAACAAATTTGGTGGGGATAGGAGTAAAAAAGGAGCAAGAACACTATAGTGAAGCTGACTTTCGCTACAATGAAGTTAAAGGGTTTCTATATTACTAGATATTTCATATAGGTTTTGAACATATTTCTTCCCATTGGCCTTCAGATTCGGGAGGATTTCCTTCCCGATTTCCGAACTGTAAACACCACGACTATATTTGCTCTTTCCTTTGCTTGTTATCGGCAGAAGAGTATTCACAGGGTCTTAATCACATCTTATCTACATATTTCTACTCACAACATTATTATCGGTAATTTTTGGTGGTCACTGGCGTACCAAGGGGGAGGGACTTACGGGGATCTATCTTGCCTCCCTAGACTCATTGACACATTCACAAATATATTTTACTAATTTTCTATTGTAACAAGTCATTCGATATCTCCATTGAATATCCAAACATAGAACTATAAATAAAAAATAAAAATACACTTTAAATTCAGCTTAAAAGAAAAAATCGTTACGATACAACATCATGTCGTTTGGACGCTCCATCCACAACACCTCTTCCTTTGTGATTGTGTCACTTTCGGTTGCGCTTAGATAATCAGTATTAATGTCTTTCTGATAAAGCACTACCTGTACTAATAATCGTGTGGGAATTTCTTTACTTTCCCTCCAAACTTTATTTTCTCAATAAATAATAAGCAACATATTGACTGAAAGAGGTTGAATCTTGTTTATCGTGGTGTCGTCTGTCTAAAAGAAAATATTTTTCCGAAACATTAGAGAAATGTCTAATAAAGGGAACTTAATTAATCGTTGATCTCATTCTTATTATTAAACAGTGAAGTGAACAATAGATTAGAACATTAGAACATTTTAAATAGTGAAACGAAGAATGGACTGAACGATCAATAAATCAATCATCAAAGCTCGAAAGCATGATTTAATTTTGGATTTAATTGTCAGCGCAGTGCACAGGCGACGAAGCAATCAAAAGCAAAGCGTGAAGGGTATAGAGGAATAACCCTAAGAAGGGACCACTTCGATAAGTCGAGAAACAAATGAACGTCATGCAGGGCGATGTCACTGCAAGAGATGGTGATGAAACCATTTAAAAATGAGGTAAGTGTGAACAAACGCACTGATAAAATGCGCGCATAGACTTAACCTGCAGTTATGTTGTCGTCAGTGGTCAAGCAGTAGTTGTCAAAGCGGTCCCTTCATATAGTAATCACTAATGCTCGGAAGTTAATGCTGTATTAAAAGTAGAAATATGCATGCAAATATGCTCTAACATTTGTAAAATATGCGCCAGAACTAATGAGATATTCTCTAACAATTAAGAGTTTTATGTGTTCATGGACAATTATAAAACTTTTAATTTTACCAATTAATTTTGCATTTTGACTATTTAGTATTCCAGCGATAGTTTTTAAAGTAAAATATAATTATTTCGTCTGTATCATCGTCGAAGTATCAATTCCAATGCCACAAATTCTTCATCGAAGATAAATTATCACATCATTCGTAATCATTCGGACAAAACTTTTCCGAGTACCAGTGCCATTATATCATCTAAACGTTCAAACAAATACTGCTGGAAACGAACGAAAGCCGAAAGTCGAGACAAATATGCATATTACTTGAAATTTGCAACATTAAGAACAAATGACCAATAAAGTATGAATAATAACTTAAATATAATGGAAATAGGATGCATTAACACAAAATGCACTAAATATGCCTTTATATGTTATTTAAAGTCACCGAAATTCTGTTCGTTTGATTGTATTTTTGTGGACATTTGGTAAGTAGCATATTATAAAGCTCATAATTAAAAATATGATTTTTAATAAATTTCAAGGTCTCAGTAATCTTTCTGTGTATTGATGTCTGCCCGTGTGACTCACTCACCCCGAGGCGGGCGCTGCCAACTGTTGCTTTTGCTGCTGCTGCCTGCGCGCCGCGAGCGCCGCCGCCACGGCCTCCGCGCTCACGTTGGCCGCCTGCGCAGGGCGCTGAGGCCGCGGCCAGCACACGGCGTCCGACGCGGCCGCGGGGGCGGGCGGGACGGGCGTGGGGCCTGCCGCGCCGGGGTGGGGGCGGGGATGTGGTGGGGCAAGAACGGCCCGCCGCCGACGCAAGAGGGCTCCGGGCAGGCGTTCGCCGACACGCCGGGGTCCATCAGCACGTCCTTCCGCACCTGCGCGCCAGCTGACTCGTCAGATTTACATTTACATTTACACAGTCAAAAAACAGTAAGCACTGTATGTGACGTAGGGGGGCGAAGATTATTTACCAGACCATTCGGGCAGTGCGATCTTGGACGTGCTTATACAGGGTGGAACAACTAAATGATAACGCCCCTTGTATCTCCTCAACTCTGCAAGATACGAAGACGCCGTTTGGACAGTCGAGTGAATTAACAGTCCGTCCTTCAGACAAACGGGATCATTTAATTGAGCACAGTAAGAAGTAACTTCTTCGATACCAATTTTGCCAAAAGATGACTCCGTCCAAGGAAGACTCAAATGCTCCATTCAGTATTCCGGATAGTTCTTGTTTCGTCACTCAAATGCTATTGTGTTATTTTGACAACAGTGACAACATATTTTATTATAAATTTTAAATAAATAATACAAAAATAAATGAACAATATTTTATTAATCATAAATTATTTGTAACTAACTGTAACCAACAAGACTTCTGTAAGCTAGTGAGCTTCTTGAGTCTTCCTTGGACGGAATCTTTCGGCAAAATTGATCGAAGAAATTAGTTCAATTGTGTTCAAATCAATGTCGGAAATGGACACACGAAGTTCTCCATTCAGTTAGCAAGAAAGATCGAATGGAAAATCGCCGCCTCAGTGGAAAAATACGTTACAAAAACACATCAATTTCTAAAAAACGATTAGTTTAAATACAAAGACATACACGAGTTTGAAATTGTCTTTTTAAATTCGTTGCAATACACCAAAATTTAACAGAGTTTCATTACAAAAATAACCTCGTATATTTTTAGTAAAAAATTGTGCAAAGACGAAGTATGATGTAATCAAGTAGCCCCGGTTTATTCACTCAACTGTCCAAACGGTATCTTCGTATCTTGCACGATTGAGGAGATACAAGGGGTATTACCACTTGGGGGTGTTACCACTTAGTTGTTACACTCTGTATATGAAGTGTTTGTGGCGTTACGTAGGCAAGCCACATCATATTCAGCAACCCCCCTGCTATTCGTAGATGTTAATATCTAGATTTTCGAAATAGAACTCACAGGATTTGGTCGGAGTAAATTAAAACAAGAAAACATTGAGTTTAGGTAAACTCAGTGTTTTAATGTTTTAATATACTCCAACCAACTTCTGCGATCTCAATTTCCAAATTTTACTGATTGTTGTAAATCTACTATCATTATCTCGATGTAGGTCGAAATGTCGCATATTGTTATTGCCCTGAGTGTTTCGTAAATATGATAAAAACATACACATACTTGTAGTAAAAAGAAATGCCATACTATAATCGAAAAATGAACATTTACGAATAGCGAGATGCCCGTTTTTACTGTAGTGGCTTGTAGTGATTTGAATTAAGATCTTAATAATGACAGCCAAGCAAAATAAAAAAAAAATAATTCATCAAATTGATTCCTCGTACTTTAATTAAAACAAGGAAATGCAATGTTTTTTATTTAAATGCAACGTCACATTTTCATTGTTTCAGTGCTTGAAATTATTTACAATGAAGCGTAGGTCGAAGTTAATATTATAAATCTTAAATGTGGCAAAAAATAGAGTTATAGCTTTCCCTTAAAATCGTTCTAGTTTTTGTAGTTGTTTGCCGAAAAAATAGTTACGTTCTTGCTAGTTACGGTGAAGGAATACGCCATGTTTGTCACATGTTGCTCTTACCTCCAAGCATGGGAATTTAACCAGCATGACTAATAACTAACTAGAATTTAACTAGCATTTAACAGGCATGGTTGGCGACACCGTTAGCTAGCCGACAAAGGCGGACAAACGGCTCAAAATGCAAAATAAACACTTACAAATCGTAAATGTTG